AAACCAGAGAATATGACAATGACAAAAAAACCCTAAGCCACCCTCGGATACGCTAGACAGCTCCCTGTCTTCCCCTACCCGACCTGAAGACCACAATATGGAGGCTTAGAAACATCAATCTGCCCAAGAGTACCCACACAGAGAAACCACTCTGACCTCCCCCTTCCCTCTCTCCCCCCCTCCCCCGACTCCTGCCACACCCAGCTCCTTCGCCAGCCATCCTTCCGCCATTTGGCATGTCCAGGTGGCAGATGCCGCTATCCAGCAAATGTATTACAACCATCTGGTTCTATCCATGTCATCATCAAGACAGGATCAACGCTCAAACACAGACGCATACAATTAACTCAATAATCAACAATTATGAGATCTACACCCCAGTCAGTGTGAACGGAACACCTACACCTACTGCCTCGGAAGACACCCACATCTCTACAACACAGGAAATATGAGACTACGATATTGATCACGAAGTCCGTAACCCCAGAACAATCTGGCAAGCCATGGTCCTGCCCTCGGAGTAAGGAAGTGAGTATTTCTGAAATTGGTTGTCGTGTTTCGGTCATCAGACCCAAATGTCGTCCAGGGCTACCCACTTTTGCTGTAAAAGTTCCAGCGCTTGGAGGGGCAGGTCCTTCCTGTCAAGGCTTTGAGCGAAGTGCTCGAAGGGCCTTGCAGGAGGCAGCCGAGGGCCCGAGACAGGCTGCCTGCAGCCCTGTGGCAAGGGGTGGGTCCCAGCCCGAGGCTGCTCTCACCTTTGATTGTGGCCATGGATGACAGGGGTCCTGTTATTCCTGCCATGACGGCAACTGCTCTTCTTCTCTGGGTGCTGGCGTAGAACACAAGTTTCCTGGCCCTGGGGCAGTTTCATGGTGGGGCCGGGAGGGAGCACTGCAGCTCTGGCTGACCGAGCGCAGCCCAGGAGCCGGGCCCCTGCCCAGGCACTGTGTGGGGCCGAGAAAGGAGCCCAGGCCGTCTGGGGTGCAGCCAGCTGCAGGGCCAGCAGGCTGGAGCTGGGATTGACTCACAGGCAGAACCTGGACTGTGGATCTCGGAGTTGTTTATTTCCCCTGGTTGCCGTCGGCGCCTGAACCCATGTGTAGAAGTCTTACGCTGGTGAGCCGAGTTGGGAACCCTGAGAACTCCGCCCACACTGTCCCCCCACCACCAGCCAGGCTAAATGGCCTGGGAGTCCCCAGACCTGGGTCAGGGGAGGAAAGGGAGAGGCAGCGTCACAACCCAGACGGCTCTTCACGTCCACGGGAGCCACTCAGGCTGGGGAAAGGGGCAAGGGCTAAGGGGTCTGCAGCACAGACAGCCGACCCAGGGCCTCTGCCTCACCCCTCCATCTATCTCCCAAGCTCCAGTCATGCTCTCCTTCTATCAAAGCCTGTTTCTCTCTTGGCAAAGGATCAAAGTCAACTACTCCACACTAAGGTATGACTGTCTAAATAGCGCCTTTCCAGACTCCAATCCCAGGCATGGGTATCCCGGCCTTTTTTTTTTTTTTTTTTTTGAGACAGAATCTTGCACTGCCACCCAGGCTAGAGTGCAGTGGTGTCATCATAGCCCACAGCAACCTCAAACTCCTGGCCTCAAGTGATCCTCCTGCCTCAGCCTCCCAAGTAGCTGGGAATACAGGCCATGCCACCCCGACACCTGGCTCATTTTTTCTATTTTTTTGTAGAGATGGGGTCTTGCCCATACTCCGGCTGGTCTTGAACTCCAGGCCTCAATCGATCCTCCCACCTCGGCTTCCCAAAGTGTTAGGATTACAGGCATGAGCCATGGTGCCAGGCCCAAAGCATGATCTCTTTAGAGATCCATATCTAGCTCAAGGAACACTTGCCTGCTGGTGGCATTTCAGAAAGGAAATGGGAGGCCAATAGAAGAGGATGGAAGGATGGAGCTGAGGCCACAAGGGGCCACTTCTTGTGCCTGTGGCCAAGAGCACTCCCTTGAGGGAGGAAGTGTGGGAGAAACATTGAGGGGCAGGGAAGATACCCAGACCCCATAACACAGGACGAGCCCCAGGGCTGAGGAAGGGCTGGAGACCTCCTCACTCCTCAGAAGCCAGAGGGCCTGGGGCGCTGGAGCCACACCCACCAGCTCATAGCTCTGACCAGAGATCCGGCTGGGACCGGGCAAGAGCTGTCTGTCTGAGGGACCAGATAGCTGCTGGCTTTAGAGAGGGTGTCTGTCACCACGCTGGTGGACACATGTGGAAACTGAGGCCCAGAGAGGATCAAGAACGTACTCCAAGTTCCCTATTACATCAATAGCAGACATGGAACCAGGACATAAAATCCAGGGCTCTTCCGGATCATGGTCTCTGATTTAATGAGCACCAAAGCGTGCTCTGAGCTCATTCCCACCAGCAGGCACCACGAGGACTGACAGCAGCCAACAGGCCGGCGTGCCGGGTGCTCCAGAGCCCGCAGGGTCCAGGAGGCTCGGGGCAGGGGACAGGGCTCCCTCAGTGGCGGCAGGCCCTCCCCGCACCCCCACGTGCCCATGGGGTGACCGAGACTCTGGTCTCTGGGGAGGGAGGGCTGGCAGGGCTGGGGTCGACCGGCTTCAGCTGGCCTCAGCCCCACCCTCCTCAGCCTCATCGGCTCTCCACTGGTCCTCAGTGTTGGCAGGACCAGGCCTGGCGCTGGGCCCCGCCTTCCTGCTCTAGGGGTCTCCAGGTATTTCAGACCCAGGAGCCCCTGCCTTCCTCCCCGCACTGCTCCTGTGCTCAGCTTTCGGGGAAGCCCAGCCCCCCATGCCCCAGCAGCTCACAGCCACTCCACATTGGTCCAAGTGCTCCCTTCCTCCAGCTTCGATGGAGACCCAGCTCACCCCTGGGGACGCCCCTCAGCCTCTCCACAGCTGGCTGTCCCATCACCACACGCCCTCGTGCCTCATAGTGCACGGCGGAGTGCACCCCGCCCCCCTAGGTGCTCGGACAGGCCCCTCCCATCAAACACCGCTCCCTGGGGTGCCAGCGTCCAGCCCTGCCCCTCAGCTCCCCAGCTGCCATTTGTCCCTCATCTGTAAACTGGGCAACCTTGTCTCACAGCTTTCTCTGCCCTTCCTCCAACTCCTGCCATTACCATGGTGACTAAGGTCTCCCCCAGTGCCACCCGCCACTCTCCTGGCCTCCCGGTTGCCAGCCCCCACGTGTGAACACCTCCACTCTACCACTTCTCAGCCGCAGCCCTACAGCAATCCCGGGCTTCCCACCGCCTCCCATGGCTCTGACCATCCGCCTCCCCTCCCCTCCCGGGAATGCCAGCCCTGCCTCCCCTGTCAGCCACTGAGACCCTGTCGCCGACCCTGCACTTCCTCCTCGTCCTCCGGGGCCTCCTGCCTTCACCGCCCTCCCTGGGCAGCCTCTTTCCTGGTGGTCTGGCCCTGAGCCGCCCAGGTCTGCCTTGTCCACCTGCACCAGGCCGCTGAAGGCTGCTGGGGACAGTCACATCCCAGAACCCTGGACTTGCCCTCCTCACCGCCGGCCCCTCTGAGCAGCTTGCTCTCCCCTCCCTCTCTCCAGAATTGTCGCCCCTCTGTGTGCCTGGCCCTCCCAGGCCCTGCTCACTCACTCCCCAGCAGGGAAACTGAGGCCATCAGACTGACTCTGCCTGGAGCCCTCCACCACACCCGAGCCCCCATCTGTCCTCCCCAGCTCCCCCACCTGGGCACTGCGGGCTCTCCTCTCCTTTCACCTCTCTCTGGCCCCCTCTGTCACACTGCCAGTTGCCTTGCTCCCTCCACATGTGACGCTGACGCCATCTCCGTGGCCCCACACGCCTCCGCTGCCTCCTGTCTCCTCTGCCCAGTCGGCAGGCAGACTTCCCCAGAGCCATTTTCTCGAATTGTCACCACCCTCACCTCCCTGTCACCTCCACTTGCCCCAACCTCCCTGCTTGACTGGCTCCCGCGGCCTGCATGTGGCCACTGCTCCAGTGCACACTTCCAGCCCTTCTGCACCGGCCTCTCCCTGCTGGCCCGGGATGCCCGGCCACTCCCCTCCACACAGCGGCTCCTCCCGCTTCCAGGATGTCTTCCCCGCTGCCCCTTCACAGGCCTTCTCCCTGCCTCTTCCTCCTCGACCTGACCTTTCCGTGCTGGCCCATGCTGACTCACCACAAAGGGAAAAACAGCAACTTTACGGGGAGAAGCCTGGCAGGCACCCCTGGGCCAAGCGCTGGAGGCTGACACCCGGCAGTGGTGCCCAGAAGGCCAAGCCTCCCCCAGCACGCCAGAGGGACACACATCGCTTCTGGGGCGCTGCTGCCCAAGACGCAGAACCTGAGTCTAATCCCGAGGAAACCAGACAAACTCAAACCAAAAGCCACTCTACAAACCACTGGCCTGTGCTCGCCCAAAGTGGCAACGTCATGGAAGACAAAGGCGGCTGAAGAACCACACCAGATTAACAGAAAGGGAAAAGACAGGACAAGTAAATGCCAGGATTTTTTTTCTATAAAGGATATTGTTGGGGAAATTGACAAAACTTGGGGGTAAAGTCTGGGGCTCAGTTCAAAGTGCTGTGCCAATGCTGACTTCCTGATTTGGGGAACTGCACTCAGGTCATGAAGGAGAAGTCCTCGTCCTCAGGAAACACACACTCAGGTATTTAGGGACAAGGGAGCACATGTCTGCAACTGACACTCAAATGGCTAGGAAAAAAATATGTGCATATACATATATATAATGATTTAAAATGTGGTAAGATATTAGCATTTGGGAAATCTAGGTGAGTATGTGGGAAATATCTGTAATAATCTTGCCATTTTTATATAAGTCTAAAATTATGTCAAAATAAAAAGTTAAAATAAAAAATTGTGATGTCTCAGGGCTCAGTCCTGGGTCTTCCTCTAATTTTACACCACCCTCCTCTCTCCCGGGTGGTCTCACATCTCATCTCCCCTTGTCGCTTTTAGTCCCACTGGGGCACCCCAACAATTCGGCCCAGACCGCCTTCGAAGTGTGAGGCCATCGTGCCACGGCTGCAGTGTCACTCGGGTTCTCAGGAGCACCCGAGTCAGCAGAGGCTGTCTGTGGTGTGCCCCACCCTTTCGTGCCTCAGTGCATGACATGGCCACCACCCATCCGAGCACCCACGCTGGAACACTGAGCTGGTGCTGGACATGCTGGGACCTTCCTTGTCCTCACTCCCTCCCGTATCCAGCCAATCACCACATCACCCTGGGGCCTGTGAGTTTCTCAAAGGCAGACTCCTGTCTGTTACTCGCCCTGTGCTGCCAGCCCTCAGCATAGTGCCTGGCACACAGTCTGTGCTTACGGAACGTTTGTGGAATGAATGAATGAGTTGACCCATTGATTGATCAAGGAAACGCCACCCTGCCCCATGGGAGTCCCAGTTTCTGAGTCCAAGGCACATGTTGGGCCTGACTTGCTGTGCTGCCATTTACAACTGTGCAGGCTGGTATCCGCTATCTACTGCCGCGTGACAAATTGCCCTCAAAATCTAACAGCGTTAGACAGCAGTCTCCTGTTGCACACAGTTTCTGTGGGTCAGGAGTTTGGGGTGACTTTTCTGGGTGGTTCTGCTCCAGATCTTGGAGGAGGTGGCAGCCAAGATGTCAGTGGGGGGGCGAAGTCATCTGAAGGTTTGACTGGGGCTGGCAGATCCACTCCCGGGATGGCTCATTTACAGGAGTGGTGAGTTGGGCCTCAGCTTCTCTCCACGTGAGCCCTCCACAGGCTGCGCCACTGTCCTCAGCTCACAGTGGCCACTCTCTGAAGAGAGGAGGCCGAAGCTGCGGGCCTTTCTATGGCTTTGCCTTGGAAGCCCACCACCATTCTGCAGTGCCCTATGGGCTGCGTGTGCCAGCCCTGCCCAGTGTGGGAGGGACCACACGAGGGCAGGAATGCCAGTAGGCGAGGGTCACTGAGGCCATCTCAGAAGCTGGCTACCCCAAGATTTGTAACTATACCAGGACAACTAACCAGTGGGGCCAGCAGCGGCTAAAATCCAAGCTGTATATATATATATATATATATTTTTTTTTTTTTTTTGAGACCAGGCTATAGTGCCGTGGCAGCAACCTAGCGTACAGCAACCTCAAACTCCTGGGCTCAAGCAATCCTTCTGCCTCAACCTCCCAGGTAGCTGGGATAATAGGCATGCGCCACCATGCCCGGCTAATTTTTTCTTCTATATATTTTTAGTTGGCCAATTAATTTCTTTCTATTTTTAATAGAGATAGGGTCTTGCTCTTGCTCAGGCTGGTTTTGAACTCCTGACCTTGAGTGATCCTCCCATCTTGGCCTCCCAGAGTGCTGGGATTACAGGCGTAAGCCACCGCACCCAGCCCAAGCTATATATTTTTGTCTAAGTTCCACGCAGGCAGGGCAGCCCTGCCAGCTGCTCCAGCTGTCTCTTGATTGTCCGTCTGGCTCTCCTCTGAGGGGCTCCCGGGAGCCAAGCAGAGAGCAGGACCCTGGCATAAACTGTTGCCATTGTCAGAACCACCAGGCACTGCCCTTCGCAGTTTTTACAGCCCCAGCACCTCTACTGGAGGCCATCATCCAAGCCCCATGGTGGCCTAAAGATGAGAAAAGGGTGCAGAAAGGTGAAGTGTCTTGCCTGAGGCCACATAGAAAAGGCTTGGCAGGACTGGACTTCTGGCTCCTAACCCCACATTCTTTCCACTGCCCTGCCCAGTGGCCAGCTCAGACCCACATCCCTGAACGCCCACTGCAAGCTTCATGCCCAGTCCTGAGCAGGTATCTCTCATCCTTCTTTGGGAACCCCACCTCAGTCCCCAAATGTGCCCGCCCCATGCCAGGCCCCAAGCAAACGCATTCACAAATTTTCCATCTGGATGGGGACTGTGCACTCCACTCCAAAAGGCTAAATCTGGAGGCGGCTGGGTGTCCGCCAGGGCAGCACCGCAGGGGTTAACAGCACGATCTGATATTTAGAAATAGCACAGCCCCACGGGGAGTCAGCTGTGGCCAGCTGGTCACAGCCACTGAAGCCACAAGCCTTTGTGGATGTGGTATGGAAGATGAGTGCCCGCCCCCAGGGGACAGGGGCTCTGAGAGGGTCCTCCACTGCCCCCACCTCTGTCTCCCCAGGACGGCTGGGGCACGGCTTGGAGCCTGCCCGGGGAGGGCAAAGCCAGCCACTGGCTTCCTGTCCACAGCCAGCTCCCGAGGGTGGCAGACAAACGTCTCGGCTCCCGAATTGTGTAATTGCAGGATGAGCTGCTTCTGCCCCTCCCGCCTGGCTGCCTGCACTTGGAGGAGCCCTCGGCCGCCTCGGCCCGGAAGCCAGAGCGAGACCACTCCCAGCAGAGGCCCCTGGTCAGAGGCCCAGGCCTGGGGCCCACAGCTCCAGAGCTCAGAGCCAGCACCTGATGCCCATGTCCCCTTGCATAGTGGTGGCCTAGGTCCTGTGTCCTTGGTGGCAGAGGGCCAATTCCCTGAGGGCAGGGCCCACAGCAGGAACACAGCCCGGCTCAGGCACCACCCCATCTAGGGCACAAGCACAGCCTCTCACCAGCAAGCTGGCTTTGGCCTCAGGCTCCTCAGGCGGGGTCAGGGCAGCCAGGGTGCAAAACACCTCGGCCAAGGGTGGGGCCGAGCCGCAGCCACTGCCTGCCGGACCGGGTACTCTCAGTCCAAGAGCACTGGGGGCAAGAGTGAACAGGAGCGCCCGGCCAGCACGCTGGCTGAACTCGGCTGGCAGGGAAGCGGGTGTTAATGGGCTCTCAGTTGTCTTGTTCTCCAAGAACACCAGGAGAAACTGAGGCAGCATGCACCCCAGGTCACTCTAGCTTCAGAGGATTTTTTATCTTCTTTCACCCTGGGGTGGGGGCGCTCTTCTTCACTCTTCAAGTGTGTTTCAGAGTCTCCCACACCCGGTGCCCTAGCCTGTGCTTTGTTGGGGGGCACTGATGCACACCTCCCGACCTGGCTGGCAGGCCCCAGGCAGCTAGGAGAACTACAGAGATCAGCACTGCAGGGAATCTGTGGGAAGAGAGGTCAGTGTGTGGGAAGGAAGGCCAGGAGGGCTTCCTGGAGGAAGGCAAGACGTGTCCAGGGAGGTGGGGCAGTCAGGGATGGTCACCAACCAAAGACAAGGGAAGTCCTGGCAAAGGTTGGAAGGTGAAAGGGAGAAGGTCTGAGCCAAGCCGGAGGGTGGTGGGGAGGCCCAGGTCAACTCTGCCCAGGATGAGGGCTGGGGGGCTCAGGGAGCTTGCTGAGGAGGCTGGAAAGGGGACAGCTGAGGAGCAGGTGCCACCCAGTCTGATGGCCTTTGCTCTGAGACAGTGGGAGGTGGCCAGGGATCAGTTCCAAAGCAATACGGGGGCCTCAACTTCCCGCCAATTTGCCTGGCATGACGCTGCTGGCATCGGCCCTGGGTTCAAGTCCTGGGCTAGGCCTGTGTGCACCCGAGCCCCAGCATCCCTTTTCCACCGAGAGCTTCAGTTTCCTCATCTGTAAACAGAGACGCTGCCCCTCAGCATGCACGTGAGGGTTGTCAAGAGACCAGGTGAGTTTTGCAAACGGGGCAGAGAGCCGGGCTATTACTGGCCCACAGCTTGCCATTATTTCCCAGGCCTGCGGTTCTCTGCCCAGCTAGCAATAAGGCGGGGCGCTCCCAGCGAAGCACCCGGTCTGGAGGCCCCACAGACTCCCCTGTGCGTGGGATCAGGCGCTCAGGGGCGGGAGAAGACGGGGAGGGGAAGGAAGGGGAAGATAGGGCTGGCAGGAATCTTCACCCTTCACCCACGTTTTTGATTCATAAAGAAACAAAGCCTTCTCCCTTCTTTTCTCACTCCTAAAATGGAAGCCCTTTCCTTCCAACACAGTCTTTCTCCCAGGCAGCCCTCCCAGGCCTCGGCCCACACTTGGCCAGCAATTAGTCCCTAATGAGGACCAGGTGTCTTGTGAGTTGGTGAGAAGGAAAAACAAGGAACAAGTAGAATCAGTGGCTTTATAGCCACTGAGGCCAGCCAGGCGCAGCCTCCGCCCAGGCCTCTTGGGGTGCCCAGATGGGAGTTCTTAGGTCTGCAAAATCCCCACAGAACAGCAGCAGTTGGTTTCTTAGTCAACCCCAGCCGGCATTTATTGAACACCTACTGTATACAGCTGCCTCTGGAGGGGAACGTTCAAGCTTCATAACCGACTTTCCATCAAGGGAGGTGATGCATATTAAGCTACATGCAAACCATGAAGCATAGGGGTGTGCAGGGTGACAGAGACAGAGGGGAAAGGACAAGCATTTATTGAACACCTACTGTATGCGAGGCCCTCAGCTAGGCACTAGAGGTACACTAAAGCATTTGATCCTCATAATCCAATTTTACATATGAGGAAACTGAGCCACAGAGAGGCAAAAGGTCTTATTTAAGGTTGGACAGCCAAGTAGGGGAGCTGGGATTTGAACCCAGGTCTGTTTGGATTCAAAACCATTACTTATAACCACCATGTGGACTGGGTACCATCACACGTGCTGTGGTGGTAAGAGCACTGGGCTTGGAGTCAAAGACCCGGCTCCACCTCTTAGCAGCTCTGTAGACTTGCTCAAGTTCCTCTCTCTCAGCCTCGGTTTCTCCATCTGCAAAATGGGGCTCAGTTTCATTGCAAACTATGAAGTACTGTACACATTGTGGGACTGTCATTGTTAAGGCAGCGGCTGGGAAAAGGGCGCAGGGTGAGGTGGGCTATGGCAGGCAGGTATGGGGGAGGGATTTTGGTGGAGGAGGTAAAGCAATAAACCAAGGTAAAGGTGGGGCTGGGCAGAGCACAGGCAGAGCCTCCTGGAGCGGGAACTCTTTCTCCTGTTACTTGGGAGCCAGGAGGAGAAAGGCCCGAGCCTGACTGTTAGGCAGGAGCTACATCCAGAGCCGGATTGCCAGGAGGCAGCCCCAGGAAGTTGAAACACTGGGATTCAGGGCTCGGAGGGCTGGGCTTCTGGCCCCGAATGGCCAGGGACCTACTGTCCACCCGAGCCTCGTAAGAGCCACTGTCGGTTCTGAGCCACTACTTCCCCCTTCGTGAGTGGGGCAGGGTTATTTTGAGGCGAATGTTACGGTGGAGTTGAGAATTCTTCTGCCTTGTGGGGGAGCGCAGACGTGTCTCCTTTACAGACGGAGACGGAGGCAGGGAAGGCCGAGGTCTCAGGCCAGCTGCAGAGCCCGGCAGAACTTCAGCTGGTTCCTCCCAGCCAGAATGGAGGCGAAGCAGCCAGGGCCAGCCTGGGGGCGCGGGTAGAGCCTGTCAGTCCTTCCTCCTCAGGCTGGAGCCTGCGCAGGGGCGGGGTGTCTCCCCATCTGCAGGGAGGGCGAGGGGCTGGCCCAGCTCACACTCTTTCCAGCGGGTGTCTCTAGGGGTCCCGGGGTCAGAACTGAGGGAGTCTGGGCCCCTCTGCAACTTTGTCCCCAATCTCCGGGGTGGGGCCCTGGTCTGATGGAGCTCTAACTCCTTCCCCGGCAAGAAGCAGCCCAGCATGGGCCCTTTAAGAAGGTTGGGGGGGCCAGTGGGGGGGACGGGGGAGCCCCAGCCTGAAACCCGAGCCTGGCGAGCCGGCCCCGCCCCCGGAGTTAAGTGGCCCGGCCCAGCCCCGCCAGCAGCAGAGCCCCGCCGCTCCCACTCTGGTGTCCACACTCTGCTCGGCACCGCGGCCACTGCACATCCCTTCCCGCCAGTCCCGCCAGTCCCGCCGCCCAGCCTGCGTGATGCCGACCAGCCCCCGGCCCCCGCCTGCGGCCCCCGCCCTGACCCTGGCTCTGGCCATGGCTGTGCTGGCCAGACTCACATCCACAGGTGAGTGAAGGGTCTGCGCCCCCACCCAGCCTGGCGGGAGCTATGCCGGCTCCTCAGGCAGGGAAAAGGGACAGGAGGGGCCAGAAGCGACTTCCAGGTCTGGAGTCAAAGGAGCTTCGCTTCCCCCACCACAGGCCAGGGTCTCCAGGTGCCCACCTGGAGTGGATGCAGGACCCCGAGCAATCTCAGGTTATGGGGGCTCTAGCTGTCCAAGCTGTCCAGGGGCCCCAGGATGGAATTGCCTAGGGTGTGGCTTTGGCTCCTGGGATTGTCTGAGACACCCAGGGGGGCCACCCCAATGTTGTCCAGGCTTTGTTTGCCAGGCAAAGTTGGGCTGATCGTGTTGATGCTCATAGGGCGCCCAGCGACAGAGGCTGGAAATGAGGAGGGAGCCGCCTAGCCACACTGTGTGGGGCCCACACCCCTCAGCCTCTGCCCCTTCCAGCCTACCCCACTCCTGCCCCCTGCCCTCGCCCCCATGTGGTCTGTCGGCCGCCTTCCCTCTAAGGCACTTCTCTCCCTCTCCCACTGCTGTTGGTGACAGGGCGGACCCCACCCACCACCTGCTCTTCAGCGAGAGGCAGGGCTGGCGCCCCTTGGGTGCCCTGTGCCCAGGAGGAGCTTGTCCCTCAGAGAGCCCTGAGCAACCCTCTGGCACGCCTCCCTGTCCCTGACACTGGTGCCTGACCCCAGAGAGACTGAATGGAAGTCTGCTTTCTGAGAGGCGCTAGGACGCGTCCCCTCTCTGTCACAATGCCAGAAATCCCAACATTACCACATTCTTCCTTTAGTGAAGACATGGTCTAGTTATGCCATAAGAACTGTGGCCTCCAGGCCCATCAGTCATTGCTACCCATGTATGAATCAGTGCTTCAGCCTACATCTTTCGGGACCATTCCCAAGAGCAACTTTGAGCAGAAGGGCCTGAGCCTCCCTTCCAACGGCCCAGACCACACCCTTCTCCCCTTCAGATGGGGAAGCCACTCTACCGGGGCGCATCCCGAGGTACCCAAAGGGAAATGAGTCAGGGGCTGGACCCCCTGCAGTGAGTCAGGGCTGGATCCCCAGGCTGGGTTCCCTGTCTGTAGGGACCTGACCTCTTAAGAGCTCAGGGTCTGGGTGACAATGGCGAGGCCATCAGAGAGTTGGGAAGGGAACCTCCAAGGTGACCGGGGACATTCCCTTCCCTTCTGGAGCTCATCCAGCTCCCAGCCAAGGGGAGATTCCAGCACCCCGACCTCCTTGGGCTTCAACTGAGAGCCACGCCCAAATCCCTCCACGCGCCGACCGCGTGCGGGCACCGTGCTAGGCGGTGGGCGCACGGCAGTGGGCAGGCTGAACTTAGGCTCATTCAGGATGCAGAAAAGCAAATGGAAACTCAAACCGCAATTCCTAGTTGTTTGCAAAGATCCAGCTGAAAAGTGCGGAGTGGGACAGAGGGCGGCCCGTGCACCACACCTCAGAGGCTGGGGAGGGAATCGGTGCTCCAGGCGGGGCTTGGCCTGCGCGGGGGTGCTGAGGGGTAAGCGGGGGCGCTGAGACAGGAAGGCCAAAGGCCAGGCTGCGAGGCATATTTTGAGCACAGGCCAGGGAGAGCCATTGGGCTTGGGCACAGAAACCTTAAATGGCAAAATGGAGCCCATAACCTATGCCCTGTTGGCAATGGGGGGCCAACAGAGGTTGTAGGGCAGGTGGTGGCATGGTGGCTGTGGGGTTTTTGGTTTTTCGTTTGTTTTTTGAGACATAGTCTCACTCTGTTGCCTGGGCTAGAGTGCCGTGGCATCAGCCTAGCTCACAGCAACCTCAAACTCCTGGGCTCAAGCAATCCTCCTGCCTCAGCCTCCTAAATAGCTGGGACTACAGGCATCTGCCACCATGCCCGGCTAAATTTTTCTATAAATATTTTTAGTTGGCCAATTAATTTATTTCTATTTTTAGTAGAGACGGGGTCTCGCTCTTGCTCAGGCTGGTTTTGAACTCCTGATCTTGAGTGATTCGCCCACCTAGGCCTCCCAGAGTGCCAGGATTATAGGCGAGAGCCACCGCGCCAACCCCTGCCTTTGGGAAGGATTTGGAAATGGGAGGGGGCCGGAGAGCACCCACTCAACAGCCCACGTCCAGCACCGCTCCTGGCCACGCCTGTCCTGTCTCTGGCAGAGGGGCAGCCCTGCCTGAGGACGCATCCTCCCACTGCCTCCTGCCGCGGGAGGGCCTAGCCGCCGGGCCCTCAGGTCACCCTCTCAGCAGCACAGAGCATCCAGGTCATGGGGCCTAGACTGAAGCCAAGTACCCTAGCAGACCATCTGGGCCAACCTTCCGATTGTACAGACAGGGAAACTGAGGCCCCAGGGAGGAGGAAAGGTCCTCTACGTCCCACAGAAAACCCAGGAAGAGCCCCAGCCCTGCTTTGAAGGAGCCCCCAGCCTGCTTGGGGGCTAGGTTTGGGCTGCTGTGACAGTGTGGCCGGCAAATGTGGTTTCCAGCTCCTTCTGAGCCCTGTGGGGGCCCAGCCAAGGGACAAGCAATGGTGAAGACTGGATTTGCTCTGGGACTTGAAGTGCAGGCAGAGAAGAACGGGATGGCACTCTGGTGAGAGGAGCAGCCCTGGAGCAGAGAGCACCCCTGCCCTGGCCTGGAGAGATGACTTTGAAAGGCAGGATGTCAGGGATTCAAGTGCGACCCTGGCGGGAGTACCTGGCAGGGAAGGCTTAAGGCTTGTGTGTGTTACCCGGATAGGGGCTCTGAACCGATGAGGATGTCTTGGAGAGCAGGGCTGCAGAGGTGCCAGGTGCAAAAAGTTGAACCAGGGTAGATCCTGCTGCCCCCAGGATGGTTTGGGGGACTGATGATTGCAGGGGCAGACTGAGCCTTGAGTGTGTCCGTGTGCTGCCCCAGGCCTCTGGGGCAGGGCATGGGCCAGGGCCCTTGGGCCAGCCCACCCAGGCTCTAGAAAAGCCATTCCAGAACCAAGTATAACTGAGCCTCCCTCCCAACATCCGCCTGCCCAGGCAGGACAAGAGGAGCCTTTTAGTGCTGCCTGCCTTGGGGGCTGGGGGTGGGCCGCACCAGGTGGGCCAGGCGGCTGATGCCAGCAGGAGGGAGTCAGGGGGAGGGAGTGCGGAGCTCGCAGAGGAAGTGTATATGCTCATCTGGGAACTGGGCGTGCTGCCCAGGAGGGGTGGGCAGGGGAGGGGAGTTGGAAATAGCCCTGACGTACACATCACTGGCAGCGCACAGATGTGGGTGCACACATGTGCACATGGCCGCGCCCGACCTGGATCTCCAACCCAACCCCTGCCTCATGCCTGGGCTGCTGGCGCCTTGTGGAGAAGGGGTGAGCATAGGGTGGGGGCTGGGAGGCTGAGCTGTGGCTCCTGTTCCAACCCAGGAGCGAAGGAATGAGGGCCCAGGGGTCTGGGGCTGGAGCCTGCTCCCTCCTGGTCCCTCTGCTCCTTCACCCCTCTCCCCGACTCCTGGCCACACCCAGCTCCCTCTTGCCCCCAGCATGCCCTCCGCCATGGCATGTGTCCAGTTCTGTAGAGCCTTCCAGAGTTAAGACTCTTCTTCCAAGTGCAGGCTTGGGGCACGTTTCAAACTTTCTGCATTGCTATTATTACTGCACTTATATGAACAATTTTGTACTTGGATCCTCTCTGGGGTGGGGGTTCCTAGCTCCCTCTGCTTCTTGGGAAGGCCCCTAACTCCAAACAGGGGAAAGGATGGGGCTGTCTTTTCACTCAGCTCTTACCTCCAGAGACATCCCTGGTGGGTGCTAGCCATGTTGTCCTGCGGCCTCATAAGAGCACTGCAAGTCAGGAAACATTCCCATTTTACAGATGAGGAAACTGAGACGCAGAGAAAAGCAGAAACTGCCGCAAGTCACTCTGTGGGCACACAGGCCATGGTGTCCTCACTCACCCCAACGGCAGGTTTCGCAGATCAAGCCAAGTATGCAGCCACCTACGAGTGGGCTCGGGACCCCAGTGGGGGAGACAGCTCCCTGAAGACTCCAGACCTTTGTTCCTGTCCCCCCACCCCCTCCAGCAAGTGCCTCCCCACCGCTCCAAACCCGCCCCCCTTCCTCACACATAAGCAAATCTCCTTCAGAAAAGCACCTCCACCTCCCCACAGCTCAGGTGGCCAGTGAAGCCACATTTGTCTCCAACCCAGGGTGACACCTCTAAGGGGCTGCCGTCAGGGTGCCTTGGTGGCATGGGTGGGACCGGCCAGGGACAGTGCCTGTCCTGTGGAGCATTCCTTCCCCTTGCTCAGCTCCTACGCACACGCGGGCCAGCCCCCAGCCTGCAGGGAGCCAGCCTTGCCAGCCGGCGTGTGGAGCCAGGCCTCCAGCCGTTGCTCATGCTTAAACGTTTCAGCGTGTGGGTCTCTCGTGGCCAGGCGGCTGTGATGCGTCAGTGAGGCTGCCTCCCTTCCGGGACCTTATGGTGGAAACCGGCCGCCCCCAGCCCAGGCTCAGAGTCCCACAGTGAGTCCTTAGCAGATTGGGGCCTGGGCCTCCCTACCCTTTGTCCTCATATCCCAGTTGGGCCAGCAGCTCGCTGGGAACAGACATCACATCCGCCTTGCTCAGGAATCTGCGCTGTGTTGCTGAGCACAGAGCTGGGCCCCCAGAGGCCCATAGAGACCACCATGCCAACTGGGGAGTTGCAGACTGGGCCCTAGGCACTCCGGGCTTTACACCTGAGCCAACCTGGAGGCGAATATGAAGTGCCAGCCCCAACCCCGATTCATGCATAGCAGCTTCTGGTTTTGTTTTTTTTTTGAGACAGAGTCTCATTCTGTTGCCTAGGTGATTGTGCCATGAAGTCAGCCTAGCTCACAGCAACCTCAAACTCCTGGGCTCAAGTGATCCTCTTGCCTCAGCCTCCCGAGTAGCTGGGACTATAGGAGCACACCACTAGACCCAGCTGATTTTTTCTATTTTCAGTTGTCCAGCTAATTTTTTATATTTTGTATTTTTAGTAGAGATGGTGTCTTGC